GGGGGGGGGGGGGGGGGGCGGCGGCCGGGGGGGGGGCGGCCGGGGGGAGGTCTCTCACAGTGGATGGTCTCAGGCATTCGACAAGCATCGCTCTTCGGCAACTCAAGAAGCTTAGGAAGTATGAGCTAGAGCAGGCAAGTTATTTAGTCTTGCCTGGCAGGTGTTAAAACTCCCGGGTGGACTTCCTCTTTCGTGACACCGGCGGGTACGTCATATGTATGTATTTACAACGAAAATCGTGTATACAGACTGGCGCCAGGATGGAAAAGATGGGACGAACACACACACACACCGGTTTTGAGGACAGCAGCATTCGCAAAGGTGTTCGTTTATGAAGACGTGTTAGACAAAGCATGCGATTGGGGAAGTCGGGTTAGGTTTTTGTCGGGTCCGCGTACCCCCCCCCCCCCCTCCCTGTTATATTTCCTCACAAGTGCAAGTTCGCGCGAAGCCGGTCCTTTGAGGACGATGGGTGATCGATATGCCGCCGTGCGAGCTTGCAAACAACTCTCGTCTTAGCGGGGGACGTGGCTTTGAGGAGGCGGTCTCGATCTGTTTGTGCATGTTTTGTGTTTTTCGACAGGTGTGCAAGATCCCGGGATTGTCGGTGACGGGCCTGAAGGCTACCCTGGTTGCCAGAATCGAGGATTACATCAACAACCAGTTCAGGTGCCCCCTTGTCGCTGATGATGGTAGTGGTGGTCGGTGGCGACGACGGCACTGTTGTTGTCCTTGTCGTCGGTTGTGGTGGTACTGTTGGACCTCCTGTCTGCTGTACCCCCCCCACCCCATGGTCTAGCCACCAAGGCATGCAAAACATGAGTACCCCCCGCCTCCGGCGTCTCCAATATTTGTAACCGTTGGGTTTTGGTGCACCACTGCTGCCACACACCCCGCAACCCCCATTGATTCCCCTGTGCCCTCATTTACTTAAAAAACACGCGACGCTACGGGCGATAACAGCCTGGTAGCGAGGTCGGGCGCCGGGACAGCCTTGGCGCAGGCTAGGGTGCTAACGGAGGTGGTGCAAGAAGTCAGCAGGGGGTACGCGAATGTGCTTCACAAGAGGCCCGTCGGCGGCGTGGGGGGGTACTCGCAGGTGGGGGCGCCGTACCTACACGGTTTCGGTACAAGGGGTTATGGTACTGATGGAAGATGCTCCGTAGTGTTGCTTTCGATGTTCGTTTTTTTATTTCATGGCAACTCTTTTTATTTGTGTGGAAGCTAGTTTTCTGTTTACTGGGTCAGTTTCTTTTGTAAGTCGACGACCTTCAAGAGGTACGTAGCCTAGTCGCGGGAAACGCTGCACGGGTGAAATGTTCTTGGGTGCATGCCAGGGATCGATGCAGGATGGGCCGAGAGAACAATATCATCTTCAAGGGGAGATGTAAATGTAAGCAAGGCAGGGGAGCCAGCCCAATAGCTGGCTGCCAGCCGGCAGCTGTAACGTTTTCCCCCAAACTCAACAGCTCACTCACGTGGCTGATGTGTTTTTTTACTCGAAGGGGCCCAGCGAACCTCAAAACGAACCAAAAAGAAGACGTTTCAAGTCGCAAGTCAAATCTTTCATGCTGCATGCTTCACTAGTGCTGTACAACGATACGATTTGAAGTGTCGATGGACCGCAACAGCAGCAACAAAGATTGGCGGCGTTTGCACTGAAGTCTTTCCGGCACCGGAGGTCAGCACTCTCCTCCTAAGAATGTAGCTTCATCGGCAGGCTTACGAAGACATACAGAGTTGATCTTGTGGAGCGAGGGCCGTTGGTGGCAGCTTGGTGTCGCGACGAACCGGATGGTAACGAAACAGGAGAGGCACCATGCGTGTGTCCCGCGTTGCTCCGTCCTCTCGAGGACGCGTGGTCTATGGTCTAACCGCTAAGGCATGCAAAACATAAGAGTACGACCCCCTCCCCCTTGTTTTTGTGTCTCCTCCCCCCCCCGCCACCCACACCCTGTTTTTCGTCGTATCCTCCCTAATCACCCCCGCCCCAACAAAGCTTAAGCAGGACGGGGACCGGGGAGGCTCTTTGGGGAGTCCCAAGGCAGGGGGAGGCGGCGGTGGAGGCGGTATGGCGGGGGGTGTTCGGTGGGACGAGGAGGTTAGGCGCGACTTGCAGCGAAGGTCGGAGCTAGACCCGTTCGTGGAGGTGTCTCGCACCCTCGCCGGGCCTATGAAGCTGGAGAGGGGCTCGGGGTGAGAGCACGACGCCGAGCCGCTGTTGTTGTTGCCAGTGGTGGGGTGTTGTAGTTGTTGCGGTTGTTGTTGTTTATGACACTGATACATAGCTGTTGTTGTTGTTGTTGTTGTTGTTGTTGTTGTTGTTGTTGTTGTTGTTGTTGATGTTGTTGTTGCTCGTGGGGGTGGTCTGCTGTTCCTGGCAGTGGTGGGCTTGGCGGTGGCGGTGGCCGTTGTCTGCTCTTATTTTTTTTTGCGACCGAATCCAAACCATTGGATCAGTCAGAGGGTTGATCGGTACAAAATGTTGGTTGCTAAAGGTTTATGTCATTGGTGCGCTTGGTTGATGGTGGTGGTGGTGGTGGTGGTGGTGGTGCTGCTGCTGCTGCTGCTGCTGCTGGTGTGGTGGTGGCGGTAGTCGTGGTCTGTCGCTGTTACTGTCACTCGTGGCGACACACGCCAAAGTGTCGGCAACGTTGTATCAACCAACCGTTGTATCAACCAACCCTCCCCCCTCCTCCGTGCTTGCTTTCAATTCTTTGTACTTGAATGTCGCGGCCGGGGTCGACGCTGCAGCTCGCAAAACTTGGCGGTACTCGGGTTCAACCTGGACGCCAACGATCACGCCGCCGTTCGCCTCTCGCTCTCGCTCGGAAAAAGGTAATCTACGATATCTACGATCGCGGAGCCGAAGAAAAAGTAAATATAGGGCCTTCGTTGTGTACGCGTAGGAGGGTTGGTTGGTTGTGCTACTACCTACACTCGAGTTTTTTGTTTGTTGGTCCCTGTTGTGACGGTAGAATACCCACTAAGTGCGCCCTCTCCGTCTGCGTGCTACGTGGTACGTTTCGTATCGAAGTCTGTGCTGATCGCCGAAAAATCGGGAAACCGAAGGAAACATGGCACTCGCACCATCCAACCCGGTTTGGTGGTTAAACATACAACATGCGGTGCGCTTTTTTTTTCGTCTGTTGCGTCCCATGAATCACGGCGACACGATGTAGTTTGGCAAAGTTCGACACACACACACACATACAACTGGTTCGATCACTCATGCCCTCTCCCGCCCTTGGTAGGGAAAACATTTTTGAGCCGCGTTTGGCAGAGTAGGAAGGGACGATTGGCCATCGGTGATCGGTCCTGTGGGGACAATGCTCCGTCCTCTCGGAGACGCGTTGTCAATGGTCTAACAAGGAAGGCATGCAAGACATGGTAACCTCCCCCCCCCCTCCCAGCGAGACATAGAGTAACCCCCACCGCTCCATCCTCTCGAGGACGCGTGGTCAATGTTCTAGCCGCTAAGGTGTACAAATCACGAGTACGCCCCGCCCGTCGCCGCCTTTCATGCTGAACCGCAGCACGGACGAGGGTAGAAAAACGCACCTGCTACTGCGGTCGTACCAGCTTATCAGCGACTCGCTGGAGGGGGCGGGGGCGGAGGCGGCGAAGTACTCGGAGGGGGCGCACGTGTGGCCGCTGGAGTCGGTGTGCCAGGTGAACGGCGGCTTTCAGCAGCTCAAGCAGCGGAAGGTGAGCCCAGCCAGGACCGTGTCGAAGAAGCGGAGAGATGATGGTCAGACACTACCCTCCCACAGCTCCCGCATCTAGACAAAGCAACAGCAGGCAGTTCAACACCAACATTTCAGCACCGGAGGGGGGGTACTTATGAAAACCCCATGCCGTAGTCGTTAGACCATTGACCTCACGTGCCTACAAAGCCAGCGGGAGTACTCGTGGCCGTGCATACCGTAGTCGCTAGACCATTGACCTCACACCCATTGTGGATGGAGCGATATGCATGCCGGGTAAGCCCCAGGCTAAGTGTCTGCATCAGATAGTCGATGGTCGTCATCCTCGCATTTGCTGTGCCAAACCAGAGAACGGCCATGGGGAAGGGGGAGCGGGATGGAGGGATTCGGGGGAACTACTGTTGCTGCTCTGATGCTCAAATTGTTTGTTGTTGTCGTTTGAAGGTCGCTTTTTTAGTCAGGTGAAACAGCAGTAGTGTACCTGTAGTTTTTTCTGGGGCTGACGCGGCGGCCGGTAGGGGTAGACCGGTAGGGCGGGGGGATGACTGTGAGAGACAGGAGTGGTTTTTGTTTGTTTTGTGCTCGCTCTAGGCATCGCCGTTCTCGCCTGCCGTAGTTTGGGAACCAGGCCAAGAAATCAGGGGATAGGCGGCAGGTACAGTGTTAGAATACAAGACTTTGTTTTCGTCGTTGGTTGAGATGGCGATAGAGGGAAGGTGTGGACGAGGAGGAGGAAGAGGAAGAGGAGGAGGAAGATGAAGAGGAGGAGGAGGAGGAGAACATTTTGGGGGGAATCGAAAATGTTGTAGCCTCTCCGGTTCCGTAGTTGAGGTGCCTACGCCTGTGTGCTCCTTGCGCGTTTTGTAGCAGTCACTGCTGTCGAGGGAAGGGTTACCGGGCGTGGTAGATTAGGGCCTATCGCTTGTCTTCTGCTGTGCGACCAGCGTTTTTTCCCTGCTAACCCGGGCCGTAACTACATGTGAGCACACCAACGTAGCCTGTCCCACAGCATTGGTTGTTATCGCCAACCTGTCAATCCCCACCCTTTGCCCTGTCCGCTAACGCTAACCCCTACCCGTGATAGCCTCAGTTGTACTGCTTTCTCAAGCCCTACCCACGCCCTACTCGCACTACTGCTGCCCCCTACCGAACCCTGCTCCTGATGCTAACGCTAACGCTAACGCTAACCCTAACGCTAGCCCTAACGCTGACGCTAACTGTTGCAGGTGTTCTTCCAGGGGCAGAATCGAAAATTGAAGGGCGATTGCTCGCCGCTGGACATCGGGGCCTCGTGCCGCCCGGGGGAGAACCGAGTGGAGTTGTACAGCTCCGATCCAGACAAGCACGCCGTCTTGATACAGGTGCATACATGCAAACATATTTGCATACATACTTACATGCATACAAACATGATAATCGTACATGCATAATATTTTACATGCATAGGAAGAAGTGCGGTTGTGATACGTATGCAACAACATACCCTGTGACCTGGTGGAATACTAAATTGCTCGTCACGGAGTACCGACCGTAGTCCTTGCTCGCAAGACGAAGCCGGGGGCCTTCTTGTACTTTGGGAAGGACGGTCGGTTCAAGTTTCATCGTATGTACGGTTTAACCCCGGTGCAGCAGGCAATGGTATCCCGCCGGTGTCCCGTATCACTTAGTGGTACGGAATGTGTTATTTGAACTTGTGTAGACATCGATACCCTCTTGTGGTTGTTGTTGTTGTTGTTGTTGTTGTTGCAGTCGCTGTCGCTGTTGTTGTCGTCGTTGTCGTTATCGTTACTGTTGCTGTTGTTGCAGCTGTTTTTTATTTGCCTTTGACCTAGACCACGGCGGCCTGTCAAGTGGGCGCGTCGTTGCGCGTGGAGGAGCCCGTCAAACGATTGAGTTTCTTTTTCTTGGCGACGTCCGCGCTGTCTACTTACGACATGAGCGTGTGGGATCCCGAAATGTGTTTGTATATATGCGTGTGTGTGATTTTCCCCAGGTGGTGAGACTAGTCGGCGTGGATGAGGTGCTCGAGAACGTAAAGCAACGCTCGCATCTCAGCAAAAAGGTTGGTGGTCGATGTTTCGGTTTTGCTGGCTTGCTTTCATGTCCTCGCTATGAAGACAATACACTACATGTAGGTGACCACAAGATTATCACACCCCCTGGAGCGATTTCTCACAGCATTACTACTCCACGACGAACAGGATACCACGTTGTTTTCGGAAAGCTCTCGACGAGACGGCGCCAAACACGATGGGGTGTGATGTCGTGTGTGACCTGCGGTAGTTGCACCCGAAGGCATTGTGTTCCTTGTTGTTGCTGTTGGTGGTGGTGATGGTTGTTGTCTTGTCAGCTGTCGCGGTTCACGGCGGTGCAATGAACGAGAAGTCGCTGCAAAAGCCCACGGGAGTCCAGCCATCATCAGAACAGAACCCGCGCGGTCTTGACGACGAAACTTCGCCTAGCGTGGACACTCCAAAGCGCATCCTTTTGTCGGAGCGCTGTTTGTTCCTCCTCCTCCGTTCCTGTTTTTCCCCCTTCAAAAAGTTTTCTGTCGTGTTCAACCCCGTAACAGGAGGCACTGCGGAGGGTGAAACGGTCGTTCAAGGGGTGCCTAGACCTCAACAGCCACCTGGAAGGAGACTCGTCGGAGGACGAGCAGATAGGGAAGGGGGCCGGCGGGGACGATAGCGACGACGATCTGATGGCCACGGCCACGCGGCTGTCTCTTCGGTGTCCCCTAGGCCTGGTGAGCGCTCATTCCAGCATCCTGCGCAGGTTTTTACGATGTACCTACCGTATACAGATTTGTAAATTTTTGGTTGAGGTTCGCTGGGCTCTTCGCGTCAAGAGTTCGTCGTCCGCTGTGTGAGGTGTGCGAGCTTGGGAAACGTCACCGATGGCAGCTGGCAGTTAAATTCACCCCAACGCATGCTTTGCTTTCATTTTTGCATCATGCCTTGATGACACTGCTTTCTACTTATGCTCCCTGCCGAGCCCGCTGCGGAGGAGCGCTATGAGAGTATGGCATCCGTGGAATTTCGGGCGTACGGTCTACGTAACCCTCCCCCCCCCTTTTTTTTTTCGTCGTAAGAGAAAGTTATCTCTTCGCATAGACTGTCGGCTCATGCTGCTGCTGCTGCTGCTGCTGCTGCTGCTGCTGCTGCTGTTGTCGTTGGCGGTGATGGCGATGGTAGTGGTGATGTTGGTGTCGTTGTCGTTAGAGTTTGTGGTGGTGCTGGTGCTGGTGATGGTGTTGGTGATTGTCGATCTCACGGTCGGTGGTGGTGTGGGCACCGTCTTTCCCTCCCCATGTTGAATGACATGGTTTCATCCACGTCGTGGACAATGCCTGTACAACGATGCAGACCTCTCGCTGTTTATTGCTCCTGTGCCCGCCGAGAACTTATCGACATCAAGGTTTAAGGTTTCCTCGAAATCACGCATTGAACCATGTACACGGTACGCACTGCTTGTCTGTTTCTCATTTGCCAGCTGGGTTGCGCAGTCGATAGTGGTAATAACCAAGACACACACACGCACGCACGCACGTTTTTCATGCGCACTGGGATCGTCGTCCTTTGATTGGTCTGCCGGTTAGCGCGGTCGGTGCTCATTCAAGCACGCGCACATGCTGTCATGGATTGTGCACGTTGACTCCATGCACCACACCAAAACTCCCCCCCGCATCAATAAACCCTGGGTGTGTGTATGCAGGTCCCGATCACCTGCCCTGGCAGAGGTCGCTACTGCAAGCACCTCCAGTGCTTCGACCTCAACACCTTCCTGAGCTTCAACAAGGACTGTGCGGGAGCGGCGTGGAAATGCGGCGTGTGCAACCTTCCCATCAAGCCTGGTATGCACTCGCCCTGTGTTATCCCCCCACCCCCACCGAGGTCAACGGTCTAACGACTACGGGCGTGCACGGTTATGAGTAAAACCCCGCACGCAAGTGATGACGATGCTGTAGTATAGAAAATAACACACAAATGCACCTGAAAGGCCATGATCTGCGAACCCCGTGAGGGGGCGATGTCCGTGTGTGGGTGTCGTAAATCTATGTGGTTCCGTCTCTTCTTTTTTTTATCTTCGCCGCTCTGTTCGATCGATCAATCGATCGTCGCGGTTTTCCCCGGCAGGTTGGAAATAAGAATGGGGTGTTGTGGGTTCTCGTCTATGTGTGTCTGAATCTGCCGTGCCGCCTTATTTTGATCCGCGGTGCATACCGTCTGTTCTTTTGTGGTTGACGACAAAGCAGCACTCTGGAACAAGGTGGTCCGCAGCCAGGTCGAAATAATATGAAAGTAAAAAAAAAAAAAGTGGCGTGTCTTGTCCGTTTCGGTGCCCGTGTGTCTTGAAAATCTTGTTGTATTGCCTGTTCTGTTTTTTTCTTTTCGCTGTTGGCTAGTCTGTTAATCGATCGAAAATGTCGTCGCCGTCACGCCACGCTATGCATGTGGTACCGCAGAGGACCTGGTGGTGGACACGTACCTCGATGAGGTGGTGCGCAGCCTGGAGGAGCAGGGGCTCACCGACGACGCGGAGGAGGTGGAGATACACCAGGACGGCCACTGGGACCCCATACTGGAGGACCAGAAGGTGTGTGTGTGTGTTTTTTGTTTTTTTAATTAGCATCGACCGCGCTAACCGGCTGACCAATGAAAAGACGTCAGTCTTAGTGCGGTTGAAAACACAACACACTTCTATCTGCCATGAACTGGGACCCCGTGAGGGGGCAGCATGGGGGAGGCTAAACTATCCTTCGGATCAAAGACAGAAACAGCAGCAACAGAAGAAAACTGGACGCGTCTACCAAGGCTATTACCTTGTACTCTAGTTCGTTTAGGAGTACTTTCACCATTCATTATCCTCCTTGTTTGTGTGTGTGTGTTTTGTGTTGGGACTAGCATCGACCGCGCTAGCCCAGTGGCTGACCAATGGGGTACGTGCGCGCGTTTGGGTATGTGTTTGTTTGCGTGTGTGTGTTGTATTTTTGTTTTTGCATCGACCGCGCTAGCCGGCTTTGACTGCCCAATGCGTGTGTGTTGTGTTGGTGTTGTTGGCATCGCCGGCTGGCCGTTGAAGAGACGTCAGGCCTGGAGAGTGGTCTGTTTGGACTGCCCGTCTCGAGCATGAAATGTCTCCCCCCTCGCCATTTTTTTGTTCTTACAACTCAACGAAAAGTCGTTCTGTGATGGGTGTACTGGAAAACATGACAGTTCCGTCTGTTCCACAGATAAAAGATTGCGAGATAGATTTTGCACCAATGAATTCATAGCGTTGCGGAAGCACTAAGTATCGGCGTTTCTCCTCCGTTCCGCGAGCAGTATACAGCGAACAGAACGGGCCCGCTCTAAACAAAAATATTTCGATAAGAAACAGACGCTAACATGTTCGCGAAAAAAAAAAGATAGGGCAAGGAATACAGCTCAGCGGTGGACGGTAAAACTGTTGCACTAAAAAACTGCGCTCGGCGGCAGTGGCGATGAGATATGAAACTGAGCCCTCAACCCGGTTTTTCTTTGCGTTTCTTTTTAGAAAGGAAACACAACGTCACAGCAAGACTACCCGTTCGAGATATAACCTTAAATGGGATGTGTTAAAGTCTTTTCAGTATGTAGGTTGAAACCAACTGGAAACTGGGCTTATTTTAAGTTTCGTATCTCGTGCCCGTTCTGTAGTTGAGAGCCTCACGTTTCTTCGCGGTGGACTTTACCAGGCATCTATCTGCCGCACCTGCTGCTGTAAGGTCTTGTACTTTTGTGGCGATGAGTCCATTGCGTTAGCGGAAGCACTACTACCTAGCCACCGAGCAGGCTATGTAAGCGATGCCCCCCCTGCCGTGGTTTGCTTCCTCCTTCGCCAGGCGGGCAAGATGAGCCGGCGGGATCGCAAGAAGGCGAAGGACGATGCGGCCGGCGCCGGTTCGGGGCAAAACGGTGGAGTGGTTGACGGCGGCGAATGTAAGCAGAAGACGATCGATGCACCGTACGTGGTGTGTTGGGCCGCTCTTTCCTTTCCCCCTGTGTGCGCTCGTGCGTGGTTAGTTGGTTGCTTTGCTTGCTTTGCTTGCTTTGCTTGCTTTGCTTGCTGTGCTTTGCTTTGCTTGCTTTGCTGTGCTTTACTTTGCTTACTTTACTTGATTTGCTTTGCACTATTTGCTGTGCTTTACTTTCATGCGTGCTTGCTTCGAGTTAGTCGTGCTGTTAGCTTTTTTTGCCGTACCTCGAACACTTGCTACTACCCCCGCGACCTCTGCCTCAGAATCTTGAGTGTACGGGGAATCATTGTCGGTACCGTAGAGGTCCCCGTTTTAAATGCCGCTTACATTATGGCCGGGTGCCCTGTTTAAGACCGGCGAGGCCGGTTGGCATAGATGAAATTTTCAAGGTTGTCTCATACCCTTCATAGTGCCGGGTGGGTACACAAATATATATTTTCCCATGGACCACCTCTATCGTACATGTTGAATGCTTGCTCATTGGTGTGCAGGCGACACCGTGGACATTGACGTAGACGATGTGGTAAGGAGCGGCGACAACTTGGCGGCTAACGGCTCTGCACCGGCGACCGCCGCGGCCGCCGCCGCCACCGCAAGGGTGGCATCCCCACCTCCGTCCGCCCCCGCCACCGCGGCCGCCCCCGCTCCCGCCGCCGCCCCAGCCGCACGTCCGGCCAACGAGCCCGAGGTGTTCGACCTTTGCTCCAGCGACGACGACGACGAGCTTCCCGCCGCTCCCGCCCCGGCACCGGCTGCTGTCGGCGCTCCGACTTCTGCGGCGGCGGCGGCGAATTTTTCGTCGAACGGTACCAACGGGGCCGCCGCCGCCGCTAGCGGCGGCAGCGGTGGCGCGGGAGGAGAAGGGCGCTACGGCTACTCGTCGCTCGTGCAGCCGAAGGATTCCTCGGGGTCGGGTCGCGCGCCGTCTCCTGCCGCTCGCGCCCCCGCCGCCGGCCGGTGTGGCTCGAACGGCGACAGCAGCAATGTCGGCAACGTCGAGTCTTCTTCTTCCTCCTCCCCGTCTTGCTCGTCTTCGAGATACGGAGGAGATACGGCGAGGGGATCGTCACGCCCCGCGTCTGCTCAGGTCAGCGATGCGTGGGCGCGGGCGGGGGGCGGCATCGCCGACCTGTCTATCGGTAGCAGCAGTAGCGGAGGCGGCGACGGGGGACGGGGTGTCGACTGGCTGAGCGGCGGCGGCGGCGGTGGGGGCCGAGGGATAGGGGGCGGGCAACAGCACGGCGAGAGCTCGGCGCAGCAGCATTCGGGAGGCGGTGGCGGTGGTACCCCGCCCACCCGTCTTTGGGACAGCGGGTCCTCTTTTGGGACCGTTCGCAGCGGCGGCGGCGGTGGCGGGAGTACGGCGGCGGCGGCGGCGGCTGCGGGGACGGCCGTGATCCCCGGGGAGAAGACGGCCGGCCAGACTCCTCAGCCGTGGTTCCCGGGGTCGTCGCCGGGAAGGCGGCAACAGCGGCCCCCGGGCTCTCCACCTCGGCGGAGGCGGTGGCGGCGGTCTCGATAGCGGCGGCGGCGCGGGCGGGCGCGCCAGGCAGGGAGGATAGCCCAAGGCCCCTGCCATCGTCGTCGTCGTCGTCCTCCGCTTCCTCCTCGTATAGTGCCTTGGGCGCATTACGTAGACGTGTGCTTTCGGGGTGGGCCGCCTGTGTGTCTTTCTGCTGGTGTCTT